CACAGACACACACACACACACACACACACACACACACACACACACACTAAAAGTACTACTTACTACTTGCACTATTATTCCTACTTTGTGGTTTTTCACTTTCAACTCAACCTTTATTTCTACAGGTTAGTCTCACTGAGCCTCCAGGGCTCATTTACAAGAGAGACCTGTTTTAACAAAGAATGATGACAACAGTAGACAATTTTAAAAAAGCATATACGTTGAAAAATAAGTGGAAGTAATAATACTTATCATTGGGGGGAGGGGTTAGAACGGAACCCCGTGCGATAAACGAGAGACTACTCTACATACCAAAATAAATATAACATTCCTACTTTGCAGTTTTTCATCTATGGGTGTGTGTGGAACGTAACCCCTGTGATAATTGAAGGACTACTGTACATGTATTCAGTAAATTTATACTTTTCATTTATCATTTCAAACTGTTTGAAGATTGAAAATATAATTTAACAGCTACACAAATACATCAGAACACTGATCAACCATCTGGAGAAACACTTCCAAGACATTCACCAATATTAACTTATCTTTATGACATGAACAGAAGGAGGAAGCCATTGAGCAGTTGCCAGGACAGATTGTCTCATAAAAAGATTTATTTTTTTTTAATCCAGCCCAAATTTACAAAGGCAAGTTACAGAGTATTGTATAAAAAAGAACCATGGTAATGTACACTTTACACAAACTCCTGAAGGGGACGTGGACAGAGAGGGACAAGAGCTCTGAATTTCTCACACAGAAAGAAAATGAAGACATTGTAAACATCCTTGCGAGCGCCGGTCGCGGCACTCCGGAGGGGGTCAGAAAGAAGGGTGTGTGTGCGGGGGTGTGTGGAAAGGGGTTAGTGCGTGACAAGAGGCGGGTTATGAAAGGACAAAACGAGCGAGTGTCTCTGCGTTTTCACAGAAGAATGTTGGACTAGGCACCAATTGAGACAACTGCTGGCCAATAAATATACTCTTCACCATGAAACAAATACAGTCCTGCAAAATACAAGAGCCAAGCACTTTCCAATATGTTGAGAGCAAACATGACGCTTCTGGCTTTTTCATACACTTTTAGAATAAATGATTTTCACTGGGCTTCGCTTACTACTGAGATAACACTACTCTCAGAGAGAGAACAAATGCACTTGTCACAACCATTGTCTGATAAAACTATATGCACTGTATGCAGTCTGCTGGTACTAAACCCACCGACTTTAATGACAACATCGCAGCTGCCTAGATTACCCTTACAGATTAAGTACAAGTCACACACCACCACATTCAGCTTATTTGTGTCAGCCGTTCGTTAAAATGCGCACAGAGTCAAAATATAAACCGTCTTGCAAACTTTTGTGAGCTGAGAAACGGGCGACTTGTTCACCTGGAATGTCCATCGGCCTCAAAATGAAAAGCTGCCGTTTCTCCGTTGTGAGAGGAAGGATCCGGCGATCGTCCAGCTTCAGGAGGGTTGAGATCAGCTTGGTGGTTCGGGGACTTGTTCAGAAAAATTTAAACTGCAACAATGGGAACGTAAAAAAAAAAATAAAGTGTAAAAAATTAAAGAGAATAATGAAAACGTGGTGGATGTTCTGTCATTGAGGTGCTTTGAATGAACTGCACGACTTGTTACAACCTTCAACCGGACGGGATGACCTCAAACCTTAGAAAACCTTTTCCAGCTCAGAGCAGAAAATGTATTTTTTTTGTTTTGTGTGTGTTTAAACGCCCACAATCAGAAGTCCTCTAAAGCTGATGTGAAAACCCTGTGGATAGAGTTTCACTTAAACCCCCTGAAGTTAAAGAAGAGCTGTAATTTAAAGCCAGCAGAGGAGACCTCTGGTAGAACAGGGCACGCACACACAGGCTTCTGTGTCACTTTAACGTTAACCGGGCGGTGAATTTACGACATGGGCCCACCTGTTTTAGGATCTGGCTGAAAGCCTGAGGTGACGTGAAGCTTTGCAGCTCCATGTGGAAACTCTGAGGCTTCCTGCTCGACTCGTGCGCCTGATCAACGTTCACTCAATTTACTGCTTAGAGTTTCACTTCTTGCTTTCTTCTGAGTTCAGAAGAATTCAGAAATCTGAATCCAGCTGTCGGCACCGGACCGGTTCTTGTTTGTTGTGTAATAGTAACAGCTTGGCCGTCATGTGCACTTACTGAAGCTTCGTTGTGCCACGAAGCGTAAGTTACTGCACAGTAAATGTATTCCTCAGTGGAAAACAAACATGCTAACAGATGTCTGAGGCCGCTGTGTTCTGGTGAAGCCACATGAGCAAGCGAAGCACCAAGACAACAGCTTTAAAAATCACACCGAGTCCTTTTCTAAAGACACGTTTGGAGATGACGACTACGCAGAAGATGCGAGGATGAATGGTGATGGAAATTTAGCCAAGGCAAGACATGTAAAGTGTATATAGCAAACAAAAAGCACACAAAAACATCCAAGGACTCCGCAGGAACTCTGATGCACAGAAGTGAAAATGCTGTGACGGCTGAAAGCTACCCACCAGGCTCGTTTTTAAACAGTTTGCATGCTTGAATAAATACAAACATTTACGCACATAAAGAAGAGTCTATATTACAGCCGAAAAATACATGAGCCAAATTTCACATTGTTCACAAGAAGCAATCAAAGTGAAAGCAGCACAATCAGGTAAAAAACACCAACAACATGCGGCTGGATGCAACAGCGGCTAAGCCTCCGTGAGCTCATCGTTTGCTGATGTGGCTTCACCGTTTTGAGTGGAACACAGAGGAAAGCTAGGACCAAAACTGGCACCGGACACATTCGAAGATGAGCATGATGACATGAAGGTGAACCCGAGTGTTAAAGGTGGGGGAGGGTGGGGGGAACAAAACGTGAACAGTGTTGATTTTCCTTTGAGGTGTGCGCGGTCCCTTCGCAAACCGTGATGACATCATCCCTGAAACAAGACGTGAAGGTTCAAAAGAGATGGGAACTGATGAAGATGAAAAACTTCAGTCTCAGGCTCTTAAGTCTCTGAGGAAAGCAGCTGTTGCCATATTCCCCCTCCCCACTACATATAGCCAAACGTTTGTCGTTTAGGATATCTTGTTGTTTCACGGCGTACAAAAAGCCAGTCTTTAGTTGACTCGTCCCCCCCCCATCAGCCACCCAACTTCCCCAAAATCCCCTGCCAAGTTCTTTCTGCGTGACAAGAAATAATGCAGTCAGAAAAAACAAAAATAAAAACAACAACAACAGCTGTTCTGGCAGTCCAATAGTCTCTTTTTGCATTGTATTTGTCGACAGTGCAAAGACTAGATAATCAGCGGGTCGGTGTTTCCTCTGCGTGACGGAGCAGAGCGATGGCTTTGAACCTGGATTACTTTCAGTCGTGTTACAGTCCATGGATGGAGAGTTTGGGGTCTTTTACAAGGGGAAAAACAAAACAACATTCTGCCTTGCCTTGGGGCAGAAAAAAAAAAAAACAACTAAAAAAATAAAAGATAGAAACACCATTCAACTGATGTCTAAAAGGTAAGAACCGGAGGATGCTGCTCTCATGTGAGCCAGTCACATGAATCTCTGCAGGGTTGAGGTGTGACGGTCGGGTTTTCCTACGAAAAAACACACGGAAGAGAGATTTATTTAAAAAGCATATACTTTTGTAACTTGTTGCCTTATGAGGCATTGTTTAGGTTTTACTTTCTATACAGACAGTTTTCTACAAGTTATGTTTTACTAGATACACAGAAGTGTGTTTAAGTTGGCTTTTTAAACCTTAAAATGTTGTTTACAAGAATTAATGCATTTATTTAAGTAAGTAAATAAGTAAGTTAGTAAGTAAGGAAGGAAGTAAGTCAGTATTTAAGTAAGTAGAGATAAATTAGGAAGGAAGGAAGGAAATTGGAAAGTAAGTAAGGAAGAAAGGAAGGAAGTTAGAAAGGAAGGAAGAAAGGAGGTTAGAAAGTAAGTAAGGAAGAAAGGAAGAAAGAAAGGGAGGAAGGAAGTTAGGAAGTAAGGAAATATGTAAGTAAGTTAGAAAGGAAGGAAGGAAGGAAGGAAGTTAGGAAGGAAGTAAGGAAGAATGGAAGGAAGTTAAGTAAGTAAGTTAGAAAGTAAGTAAGCTAGTAAAGAAGCAAGGAAGGAAGTTAGAAAGTAAGTAAGCACACAAGTAAGTTAGGAAGTAAATTAGGAAGTAGGTTAAGATGTAAGGAAGTTAGAAAGTCAAGTAAGTAAGTATTTAAGTAAGTACGGAAAAAAGTTATGAAGGAAGGAAGGAAGGAAGGAAGTTGGAAAGCAAGAAGTAAGTAACTATGTTAGAAAGCAAGCAAGGAAGGAAGGAAGGAAGTTAGAAAGGAAGTAAGTTAGTTAGTAAGGATGGAAGTTAGAAAGTTAGTATGTAAGTAAGGAAGTAAGTTAGTAAGGAATGAAGGAACTTAGAAAGTTAGTATGTAAGTAAGTTATGAAGTAAGTTAGGAAGGAAGGAAGCTAGAAAGGATGGAAGGAAGAAAGTTAAGAAATAAGGAAGGATGTAAATAAGGAAGGAAGGAAGTTAGGAAGCAAGTACGTAAGGAAGTTGGGAAGTAAGGAAGGAAGTTAAAAAGGAAGGAAGGAAGGCAGTTAGGAAGGAAGGAAGTAAGTTAGGGAGGAAGGAAGATAAAAAGTAAGGAAGTATGTAAGTAAGTTAGAAAGTAAGTTAGTAAGGAAGGAAGGAAAGAAGGAAGTAAGTAAGTTAGGAAGTAAGTTAGTATGCAAGTTAGAAAGTAAGTACGTAAGTAAGTTAGGAAGTACTAAGTAAAGAATGAAGAAGGAAGGAAGGAAGGAAGAAAGTTAGGAAGTAAGGAAGCAAAGATGTAAGTAAGTAATTAAGGAAGGAAGGAAGGAAGAAAAATGAAATTTTTTTTTTAATGCATTTGCCTTTTATAGATCAACCACATTTTATAGATGAAACTAGTTTTTGTGTGAGATAATTAATTTTCCTTTCAGTCTGACCAGATACACAGAGCCAGTCATCTTTTACTGTAGGAACTATAGGTTTGAGACATTTGTAAACAAGTGATCAAAACTCTGATTTTTATTTTTATTTTACAGCTTTTTCAAAACAAATCTTTCAACACTAATATACATTGATCCCTTTGCCCTTATATTTAGATCTGTTTATGTTGTAAAAAATTTAGATTAATGTGTCATTCATCGTTTTAATCAGTCTTTAAAAAAAAGGAGAACACACAAATAAGATTAGTTAAACACTCATAATTATAAGTTCATCCAGACACAAACCACATCAGCTGCCCCTTCAGTTAAAGCTAAAAAAGAATGCTCCTGCAACATTTTTTTAAACTATATTATCCAAAATGATCCTCAAAAGTAAAAGTAAGCCCCATAAATGCAGGATTTTGAGAGAGAGTCATTTTTTGTAATGTGTTAACTGCATGTAGGTTTATGATTCAGACTGTTATTTAAGAGTTACCACTAGATGTCCCTGCAGGCTGCAGAGCCTTTGTGTCTCAGCAGCTCATTCAACATCTCCATTATCAACACTGTGATCCACTTGTCCTCAGAGGACCTACTTAGGATGGATGAGCTGAGGGGCTAAAAGCTGCACTGCATATTGTGCTCGACTGCAGCAGAGAAACGAGGGCTTTCTTTAGACATGATTTGCTTTCTTTGCCTTTAAGTCTACAACATAAATGCAAGTGAGGAGTGCAGCATGACGCCCCAGGGTGTTCTACTCAAATCAGCCCAGGACAAAGAAACTATTTTTACACAACATAACATCTGTGCTTGAAGTCCTATCACAGCCACTACCGTTTCTAACTAGAGGTACAGTGTGCATTGTTTATCAAAGAATCCTCCTGCCACTGGTGTTTGCCTGCTTTGTGAACACTCAGTAGGCCTGTGTTTTGTTTCAGTGCCAGTACTTTGCCTGCATCTGATGAGGTGGAAAATGTCTATTAGTAATAATTCCTGTAATTACTGTTCTGCTGCTGAAATTGTAAAGTCCAGTTACAAGCAGGTGATGTATTTTGAACTGTTGATTTGTTAATTCAATTACTTTCATTGATTAGAGTGCAAGAACAGAATGATCTATGACTGAGAACTCACCTGTGGCGTAGGACAGGTCGTATTGCCCTGAGAGCAGAGGGTATCCCAGGTGGTGGTGAGAGGGCATGATGCGCTGGGAGGGTGACGAGCGTGGTCGATCCACATCTCTTTCTCTGTCCCGCTCACGCTCCCTTTCCCGGTCTCTGTCACTGACAGCTCCTCGGTCCTGCTCCCGGTCCCTGTCGTGGGACGATTTGTCAACCACAGTGGGGGATTTGCTCTTATACTGGCTGGCGTGTTGATGCAGGATATCCAGGGCTTTAGGGTCTGTTGCCATTTTTGTGACAGTAGGGCTTGCACGAGATTTCTCGCTGCCTTCCTCACCTCCACCTATTTTACTCCCGTAAGTGGAAAATGGATAACCTCCGGGTAGATAAGAACCTATGAGTAATTAAAAATATTTAAGGTTCATATTATGATTTGGGATCATTTATACACATTTAATATGCTACACATGTGAACAACATTCACTGGTCTAATTACAAATACTTTCCAGAAAACTGACCTAAACTAACTTCTTTGCATATTACATGGTGTTAATACTCCAACAAGTTAAAACAAGAAACTGAAATTAGTTGCTTTTAAACAATTCAAGTGTAACATTTTATTTTATTTTATTTTCAGATAGTTCAATGCTATTAGAATGAAAATCATCACTCATTTTAACAATTCTTTATACAAATGTACGCTACAAAATTTTTAGAGGAATGGTTCAAAACAGCAAATTACATAACACTCTTTAGGCCACTTTGACCAAAGAACATGATATAAAAAGCATTAAGATGAGTGAATTAATGTGTTAATGTAGTTGGTGTTTGGAAGAGCGTCTGTGTTAACCATTTGAAACAAATACAATTCTTGTATGAAAAACAAAACACCCCCCCCCCCCTTTTTGAAACAACTGTCTTTGAATGACTTCATATTTTTTGCACATCAACTTATATTTGGAATAAATTGAATGTCATACCTGGGTAATTCTGCATCATGACTGAGGGCACACCCCTGTATCCAGGGTGGTTGGGGTCATAGCCTTGTCCATAGGGGTAACCATGCATGTAGGGTATGTAGCCTTGGTGCTGTGCTAGTGGTGATGTGAACTGCATGTGGGGGTTGGAACGAGAGTCTTTGCTCATTGCTCGATGGTCTTCCAAAGTGATTCTGGGATCACCAACGTCTTTACCATCTTCCTTGGGTCCACTTTGACTGTCCTTTGGCCTTGGCCTTTCTTCCTTTAATTTTCGATCTCGTTCCCTTTCCTCTTTTCTTCGATGTTGTTGTTGTTGTTGTTGTTGTTGCTGCTGGTGTTCATCCTCTGCTTGGAGCTTCTGGCTCTCAGGATACTGCTGAGGACAAGAAAATAAGACGGTACACACCTGACTTGGTATACTGAAACAACATGGAGCCTACAAAACAGATTCACCAATCAAAAAAGTAAAGTAAACATTTGATGACTGTTATTCTATATTGGCATTTACCTGTCTGTACCACATGGCCTGCTCCATGCCTGCATGGCCTCTGGACTCCAGAATTTGCATGGAGTCTTCCTTTCCATGATGACCTCCTTCAGTCAGTTTCATCTTAAGCCCTTCAGTTTGCTGGGACTTTGGGTCCTCTCCCTTTATGCTTCCCATTGACTTGGAAGCTAGTTCAGAAGGGGAATCTCTGGATTTGCTTGAAGGTTGCTGTACCTTTCCTAGATCTGACTGACTTGGGGCTTTGGATAGACTTGGTGGCATCGGGTTCTTTTGTTTCCATTCCTCTTTTGTGGAGGATTCTCGTTCTTTCATGACTATATCTGACTTCTTTTCGGCAGCACGATGCCGTTCAGCCATCTGCTGCTGTCGCTCCTCATATTGTTGCCTGTAGACTGGGTTGGTGTTCATCAAGTGGTTATGGTAGGCTTGATCGGGACTATACGCATAAGGAGGAACATATGCATACTGGTTGTAGTAAAGGGGCTGCATGTACATGTTCGATCGTTGTTGGATGACTGAGGGCTGTTGTTGTTGCTGCTGCTGCTGCTGCTGCTGGCCTGTAGCACAGCTATCAGGTTTACGATCTTCATGAACTTCAACCTTCATTTTCTCTTCACCTAGATCATGTTCATCATCTCTTTTGATCTTAGCCTGACCTTCAGCCACTGGTGCACCTGAATTTGGCCCGCTGGGACTAGGATTGACATAATTAGGCGAATAGTACGTCTCATAACTGGCATAGTAGGGTGAATCTTTGTTGGGTGTCTGGTTTGGAAAAAGTGCTTTCTTGACACTTTCTCTAATGCCCTGGTCCTCTGTTCTGACTTTGACACCTTCTAGTTTCCCTTCACCATCCTCCCCTGCATCTGAAATGTCTGAATAAGCTGGGCTATTTGTTTTGACTGAAGAGTTGTCAGCTCCATTCTGGTTCACCACATGCAGGGGTGTGAGAGGCTGTGGTATACCACTGCCATCTATTCGACTGGCAACACCAATGGACGGACTGGGAGCATTGTCTGAAAAGCTGTAAATCTTATCAGCCTCAGCCTTGATACTGGCCAAACGACTCTGATGAGTATCTGAAGAACCATTGAGGAGGTTATCTACTTTGCCTCCTTGATCACAAGTTTCAGAGTATTGAATTTTCCCCTCCTCTAGTTTCCCTACCTTTCCCGAAGGTTTAGGACTATCAGCATCCTTTACCCCATCTTTTTTCTTTTTATCCTTCTTCTTCTTGTCTTTAGAGCTACCTGAAGTTGGTTCTCCAGTAGCAGGTGGTTTAGGCTGTGTGCCTTTCATTTGAGGACTTTTTGGAATTCCTTGGACAATTGGAGAGGAATTGGGGTTCCCAGTAGGAAAAGAATACATTTGCTGAGATGCTGTAGGGCCAGGGCCAATTGGACGTGGTGACTTCAAGTTTTTCTGGGCAATTTTATCATTTTTCGTACCAGTGCTTGCCTTTTTAGACTTATCTGATCCTCTCTTATCATCTATTCCATCATTACTGGCCTCATCAGTAAGGCATGGCCCATCCTCACAGCCATCCATTGGTGTACCTCCCATTTCTGTTTCTGTCTCAGCAATTTTCTTTTTACTCTGCTTTGAACCAAACTTGCCAGGAGATGGAGAGGGACTCTGAGCATCAAAGTTTCTGCCTTTTGGGGTAACTGAACGTGCTGGAGATAAACACCCTTTCTGGGAGATGGATGCTCCATTACAGTTTCCAGGTTCAGGGTGGAGAGTTGAGTCCTCTCCATATTCACTGTCTCCATCTAATTCCAACTTTATATCATCATCATTGTGGGCACGAGCTTGATGGTACTTGAGGCCATTGATGTGCTTGTACTTCTTGTTGCAGTTAGGGTGTGGACAGTCAATAAGAACTGGAGATGGACAGCTACGATCAAGGGGAGGTGGAAGTGGCTCAGTCTTAACAGAAGGAATAGGAAGGCCTGTGGGTCCCACGCCTCCACTGTTTGAGTTTGTCCTCATTCGCTTGTTGCCTTTGGTGTCCTCGGAACTGGAGTTGAGCTCCATGTCTGAGGCTGGTTTGGTCTTGCGTTTTCCAGCTGATGATGGACTGGTTTTGATGTCCTCTGTGTTGCTGTTTGGTGGGGTACGGCGCTCTGATGGAGTCTGGCTGCCCCGGCGGCCCTTGCTGTTAGATGCAGCACGTGTCTTGTTGTTGGTGGTGCCCTTGTTATCTGATGAGTTGCTGTTCTCGTTGATTGGGGTGTTGCTATTCGGTCTCATTCGCTTACCTCGGCCACGACCATTTCTCATTTCCAAATCACTTGTTGGTGATTCACAAAACCTGCAGTTGTGTTAAAAATATTCAAGAATTAGACATTTGGTCTTGTGGGTGTTTAAAGTGCTCTATAAATAATGTATGGCATGGTATGGTATAGTATGTAACTATAGTATTGCTGAACTCAAGTGTGCCAGGTGGTTTTAATCTCTACAATATTGTAAAGGAAATTCAGATTAGTTGATTAAATGAAAAATTTTGGGAAATGTATAGAGCTATTTCAACAAGACCGCAATATACAGTACACTCATATCTTGATTTAAAGCATTAAATGGCTGTAAATATATTACATTTTTTATGAAACAGTTTGAAAATAAACACGACTAATAAATCTAGTAGTGTGTCTTTACTGTGTAATCAAGATGTGACAATAGTGCTTCTGTATTGCAAAACCATGGTACTGTCATTATTACTAGCTAACAACAAAGACTGTATTGTAAATCTGTATTGTTCTCTGAAGACCTCCTAGCTCATATTGTGACTCAACCAAAACCACATCTGAGATTATGGGCCAATGCTGGTGCCAACAGCTCTACAAGTGCAAAAATAATAATAAATAAATAAATAAATAAATAATGTGCCTGTTTTTTTTTTTCCTCTTCCAAATAATCATGTGCATTTAAATACTCGCCTCTAGTGTAAAGAATACATGTTAATATTCAGAATCAGCATCAGAATAAGCTTTATTATCACTGTACCTGGAATACAGCGAAATAATATCTTCTCAGAAAGGAAATAAATCAAGATAATTTGTTTTGTGAGGACATCAAAACAATGTCACAAGTGAAGCAAATAATGGAAAGTTTTCATTTTTCTCCAGTAACTTCCAATTGTGCTGGAAAAAGCAGCAATGATGAGGTGAGTCTGTTTTTTTGCAACATAATAATCTTATATTTTATGCAATACATTATTCTATCTTTTATAGAAGTAGCAGTATGTTTCTTTAAAAAAGCCTTTCAAAATGAAAGACAATAAAATATAATTTAATCAAACAGCCATGAAACTTTTAGCTCCTTTCTAATCAAAACATGCAGTTATTTAAACCCCCTAAAATAACGGTTTGGCTTTATCTCTCCATAACGGTAATGTAATTATCTTTGTGCACAGCAGTGAAGGTTAGCAGTGTGTGACAAAGTCAAACCCAAGGCTGGTATGACTCACAGCTTCTTCCACAAGTCCAAACAATTTCAGCCCCAGCAGGGCTAATGTGAATACACCCTTAGTCTAACAGTGGTACAGGAATTTAGACTCATTACAAACACAATTTCATATTTGGTCTGTTAAAAGATTTCTGAATAATTTCAGTGTGTTCCTAATGTAGTCATGCTGCAAACCGTAAGACAAGTGTGGTGCAAATGCAGCCCAACAAACCTTACAAACAGCACCACTGTGATGCATTAGTGGGATATAGCATTTACTTGTTTTCCATTAGCACTGATTTAATCTTTCTTCAAGTACACTTAAACATCCATTTGAAATACAGACTTGTATTTACATTTAGATTGTGTCTCTCTCACCTTTTTAAATAAAAGCAAGTGCTAGAAAATGTACTTTTTACACATCCTGTCTATTTTTGACACAGTTTCTATGTATTGAGAAACACACCACCAAACAAACACCTCATGCTATTGCCATGAGACTGAGCTTAGAAATTGCGGTCTTTGTGATGGAGAATGTTATCCAATGTTGAGGGGAAAAAAAAGCTCTTAGTCCAATAATTGGATTCTGCAATCTGGCTTGTTAGAGTAGCTTTCTATTTCCACTGCTGCCTCCTGAGACATCAGCTGCTTGCCAATGAATCCTGTTTCTCCAGGCTCAACATAAAGACTAACATGCACTCGGTGGTCCAACGGTGCACTGGAAAGTCAGTGCATTAAGCTGTGCATGCTTCGACAGCTGCTGCTAATGCAGATTCATATCACATAGAATATAAAAAGGTTACGAGACTTAGCGTCTACGGTTTGGATCGAGTATGCATCATCATTTGTAGAACTTGTTGGTTTTTTTACCTTGACATTTACAACTCTCGTGCGTGACAGTAAATTTCATTTATGCTGAACCAGGTGGTGAAATGTAATAAGGAATGCTTCCTACCTGGGGGGAGCCCAGTCGTGCCGTGTACAGTCTAACAGGGTGCCAACGTATGTCTTGTTTCTCCAAGTAACATTGACCACAAGCATTCCTGTAAGACAGGGAAATTACAGTTATAGATTTACTTTGCAACTACTGTGGAAACATAAACTCGAAAAGTGGTTAAAAAATATATAGTTGAAACAATAAAATGTAATAAAAAACATTTTCCTTCCTTCGCATTACAAACAAACTGTGAACTGAAGGAGCTGCATAAGTGGGGAAATCTTTGCTGAAGGCAGTCATATGGAAGACAGTTATATGAGCCAAAGATGCTTTTTTAATCTCCTTCACACAGTAAAGCCAAAGGGGCCAGACTGACTGATACCTCCTAAATGACTTGGAAAAGACTAAACTGCAGTCAGTGTTGTAAAACCTGCACATGATAGTGGCAGAAGGTCCTGCTACAAATGAAAACACAGAGGTTATCGAGAAAGACTGAATACCCTTCCTACCAAAATAAGTCATCTCAAAGCACAAGAGATTTTCCTGAAGGAGAATCACTTGGAGGCAAATATTTCCTTGAAACCCTCTGTCTCACTCTGCAGCTCAGAAATTCACTACCTCAGGGAAGAGTATGACAACTGCAGCTCCTTAGAAATAAGCAACAAGCTCCTGGGGTTGGTTAATTCCATTGAATGGTTCTGTCTGACAAACTGTAAATGACTGAACTTCACTGCTATTGCTGTAATCTGTCACAATGGGAAGATTCTGTGTGGCTAGTGTCATTCCATCACGCCCGTGGAGCCACCCAAAGTGTGATACCTGATCTCCCATTTAAAATCTACAATTAGTTCCAGACCTGCACTTTAATTTCCGTGTATATAATTCCCTAAGAAAGGTCTGGGAAAATATTTTTAAATTGGCAAAAGCTTGACGATTTTCCAGAGTTGTGCAAAAATTATTTTACTATTATTCTGCACTGCAGTTATTTCAATACAAAACAAACTGATGCAAAACGTAACTCAGATGTTGTGAAGGCTGTTTTCAATAAATCATCTTTGAGGATATTATTATTATTATATATATATTTTTTTTTAACCAAACAGCCTTAGAGAATTAGGAACAACGTCTGCATGTAAAAACATTTAGTATTTATTGCCCACACCATCCCTCTTACTCTCCGGTGATGACCTCAGCTTGCCACTTCAGCACTGCAGAGAAACCGGAGGATGCAGTGAGCTAACTTATCTAATGACACAGGAATGCTGGCTGGCAGCTTCTATCCTCTCGAGCATTTTATTAGCTTAGGAAACCTCTCTTGCTCAGGTCCCCATCCCCCCATTTTCCCTCTCTCCTTCACCCTCACCATCATTTCCTTTTTCAATGGTATAACCATCTTTGGCTTACAATCTTTTCCCCTCCCACATACACATACAAGTCACAGTTCAGACCTCATTTTTCTCCTGCTGCCTCTGGCGTAAAGCAGGGGGAGCATAAGGGATTTATATATGTTTACAGGAACCTGCAGACACTTGGCTGCATGCCTTTTCCTTCAATCTATGGCTGCAAAACATAAGCACTTGGTCAAGGATGGATCCAACTGCAAATGCTGTGTGTGCATGCAGGGCATTGGAGAGGTCCTCGAGTTTGGATTTCTGTCACATTAAAAGAACTCAGACCTTTCTAAAAACGTCTCCAAGAGCCCGCCCCCGGAGCTCTTGAAACACTCAAACACAAAATGGCTCTGGCAGCTGGTCGAGGCAGGGATGTAAATCAAGGCAGAGCAGATGAATGACCAGCCTTTCATGATGTGCAGGATGCAGCCTTCCCTCTGCTCTCTAGAAAGCACGACTTCAATGATACCATGAATTGTTAAGGCTTAGTGATTTTAAACTGGCCTTTAAATGTGATGCTGCAGTTTAAGAACAGAGACTGTGGTGTATGTGTAGGATTGAAACGCTTTAGGGATTTTATTACTAAATTTGATAAGAGAAAAGCAAAACAACTTTTCTCAAAAGGAAAGCAAATGACTTTTTAAAAACAAAATTAACTGAGAATTTAAAGATCCTTGGAAAGTTAATGCATTTGGAAAAGCTTGACTATAGATTGGACACATACTAGAAGAGTATATAAATTATAGAGGATGCTGGACAAGGGCACCAGTGACCCCTGCGATCCGAAAAGGAAGAAACAGGTAAAGATAATAGATGGATGGATACAGTAGTTTACTGTGACAGATTTTTATGTAAATCATAATCATAAATAGATCGACCATGATAAATCGTTGCCAGTTCAATCAGGCTGAATAAGGACAATCTCATAAACTACCTTCATGTCACTACAAAGATTTTCCTTCGTGACTGAGCTCTGAGGTGCTCCTCGGCTATCAAGGACTTCCACCGTGTTTTTCCGAGACTTTCCATGTTGTGTTTGGCTGCGTGTTAAGGATCTTTACCCTGCCTGAAGATAAATCTTCACAATCTGACAATTCATGTGCTTGGCGTTGGGTTTTCCAGAGGAATTTCCCTGTAGTTCCCTCAACTATAATTCACTGTCTACAAGTGAAAAGCAGCCCACAGGGTTGGGTTACACACGCTTCATGAAAACAAAGAGGATGACAGCTGATGAGAAGAGGTGTGGCGATCAATCTTATTGAGCATTTCCACTCTAAGTGGGTGGCCAATTGATGGACCAGGAAATTCTTCTCTTATTAGGAACTAAATATGCATAAACACTGAAATCATTAAGCATTTTTTTAAAAGAAAAGAAAAATGCTGGGAGTATGATCACTGGAATTTTACTAGCACGCAAAGAGGCAGCTATTCTGTGTAAAGCAGCCAAAGCAAAATACATAGTGCTTCACTTTCTCTGGGAAATATGCTACAGATTTTGTGCTTGCCATCATAATTTTGCTCCTCAGAGTTGCTTCCATCTGGCCACCGTCCCATATTGAAGCCAGGGAACTCTGTAATCCTTGACTTTGGAGTCACTTCAAATATCAGCCTCTGGCTTTCTCTGAATGATAATGCTACAGTTCCTTTAATATAATGTGGGACACCTCAATGGTACAGAAACATCTATCAATTCAATTGACTTCACATTCAATTAAGTTCATTTTAAAAACAGAGCAAAAATGTTCTTTTTATGAGTTTAAGCCTGCAGTTTACACAAATGTAACAGGTCAGTAGGCCCGTCACGATAACTAATTTTATTGGGCGATAATTGTCTCAAAAATTATTGTGATAAATGATAATATTGTTTATTATTGCTTAAATTTAAGAAGAAACGTTGGTCATTTTTTGTGTGTAGTACCTTTTTTTGACCACTGAACGGCAGTATAAGACTGAATCGAAGGATGGATAGTGAGGGAGCGAGTGTGTCTCCTTAAGAAGAAATGGGAGGGAGGCCCCTTGACTTGACACGGGCTGTCTGTCCTTCCTTTTTTCTGGTTTTCAAAATGTCAGACGCTCAGTATGGTTTGAGCTCTTTAGCAAAGCATTTTTCACACAAAGCTTTTAATTAAAAAAATTCAGTAAACAAGTTCTCAGCTT